TTTGCACTGACTGGATCAGAAAGAGCAACCTTTCCAAAAAGGCAAAGCTCCGTGGAAGGAAAACTCTTATGACAGGTAACAATCGGTGTTAATGTTCATGAGAGCTGACAGGGCCATCTCTGAGCCTGTATAACTGTCTGGGACCCTCAAATGTGTCCACAGATTGAATGTTCATAAGTGTGGGAAGAGCACAGCTCATCTGGAGCACAGCAGAGGCTAATAAGAGGTAAATGACTTTCCTTGCCCTGACCTGGGTTACCTAGTTCAGCCATAAGAGTTACTGAGTGGGATGGGCTCTGCTATTTAAAAAACGCCATTCATATTCATTTTTCCCCAGATGGAGTTACCTTTCCACATGGTCAGCTTAGAAATCTTCCCCTAAAGATGCTGATCTCCTTTAGGCTGTCTCAGAACACAGTATCCTTCAAATAAGAAAAACTGGGTGGCAAGTGCAGTGTTTCCAAACAATACCTATCATAACCACGTATTTGCTGTCTACCTGCTAAGTCAAGTTTTCACTGTATTTCTCCTTCCTCAGAATACACTCTGGACCTGTGCTGTATAATATGGTAACCACTAACCAAATGCGGCCATTTTAATGTAAATTCATTAAAATCAAAGAAAATGTAGACCTCAATTCCTCAATTGGACTGGCCACATTTCAAATGCTAGCTACCCACCTGTGGCTAGGGTCTACTGTATTGGTGAGCACGGATACAGAACATTTCTTCATCACAAACCGTTCTGTTGGACTGATCTATATTAGATTCATTATCCCTTCTAGAGAAGAGACTTTAGCCACTGTGTTCTTGCTTCAGACCCATCTATATTTAAAACAAGTTTCCCTAAATCCTGAGACTAAAATGGAGCTAAAAATTCTCAGTTGACAACTTTGTAAAGGGTATTAGTGGTTGAAGAAAAAAAAATTTTAAGACCTCTATTTTTTAAATGAACTTTATTATTGGCATTGTGGGTGTTTGAAGTTGCTGGGATAAATTAATATAATTAAATAAAAGGCTGAATTCAACTGTGTAAGTTGTTAGTGGTAATTAACAAAAGGACCCAGATGGCTTATTGCTTAATTGGTTGAACAAAGCAAGAATGTGGTGTTTCTTGGTTCCTTAACCAGCGCCATGATTTATTACTTTATTACAGAAGTGGCTGTCAACTCAGTCCCTGGCTGGTACTTATAGACCCTTAATTTGAATAAAACAGATGCCTCCATTTAGTTCTAAAAGGACTTTCTCCTTTAGTGTAACCAAGTGTACAAATTCCCTTCTCTGTGAACTCAGCATTTGTTTTATCCATAATGGTCAATTTAAAAGTAGAGAAACTTGTCAGTAGTAAGACTTTACCCCTAGTTTACAAGCTTAGTCCAAGGAGACCAGATTCATGTTTGAAAATTAACCTTCCCTAACAATTCCCAAACTGTTCAGCTAGCTCATAGTGAACGGACATTCCAGGACCTATGACAAATGTTAAAATGATACAGGCCTTCCTCTGTCCCTCCCTGTTTCTCTCCTCTCAGGATGAGAACAGGCCAACCCTGCTGCAGCTGAAGCTTATGAAAAGCCTTTAACTTCTCAGCAAAGTGTGACCAGAGGGTGGGACATACTTTGCTTCATTCAGAGACCCTCAAGAAGGCATCGCTGATCACTCTCCTCTAGGCACAGGCCAAGGGTGGCATTGTTTAATGTCTTATTTAAATAAGATCCAGGAAAACCTGACCTGCTGTCTTTGAAGTCATGACTTACCCAGATGCACTAATGCTGAAGCTGTTCAGAGGGTGTGAAAGGTGAGCACCTAATTAGATTATCCAAAATTCTCCAAAACTCTCCAACCCAAGCCATATGGCTATAGCGGGAGCTGCCTCGTTCCCACCATAAGATTGCACCCCCTTCCTCCCAGTTGAACACCTGACTCATGTTGGGCCAATCAGCACATTCCTCAGTAATTTTGTTATTGAGACTAAGAAATCAGTCTCTCTACCAGTGACTTAAGAGATAATGTGAGGCTGGGCGTGGTAGTTCACGCCTTTAATCCCAGCACTTTGAGAGGCCAAGACGGGAGGATCACTTGAGCCCAGGAGTTTGAGATCAGCCTAGGCAATATAGCAAGACCCCCTCCCTACAACAAAACAAAACAAAACAAAAATTAGCCAGTTTCATAGCCTGGCCTCAAAATAAATAAATAAATAAATAGATAGATTTTAAAAATTTAAAAAAGAGATAATGTGAGAATGTTGAGCTCTCAGCAGGCTTGTTTTCTGTATATGGCCCTATGAAGCAGATGAATCCAGTCTGGAGAGTGAATTAGAGACAGGTGTGGGGTGGAAGCAAATATACAAATAGCAGCAGAGACGAGGGTGGGCTAGAGCACCTTGACAGTATTTGAGCTGCTGGTTCCAGTGTGTTCCCCAGGCCTTGCTCCATGACTCTCTCCGGAGTGTGTGAGACAACCCGAAATGTATTTGTTTAACTCAGCGCTCCTCAAATTTTCCTGTGCTCACAAATCAAGTGGGGACTATGTTAAAGTGCAGATTCTGATCTGGGGCCTGAGATTCTACATTCCTGCAAGCTCCTAGGTAATGCTGATACTGCTGGTCGGAAACCCCCGTGTGAGTAGCAAATGTTGAAATGATTCAACATTAGTTTCCTGGGTTTTTCTAAATTGTTACTTAGAGCTCAGAGAATCCTCACTGGATGAGTTCTTGTGCTATTCTCCTTTGCTTCGCATAGATCTCTTTTTGAAGCCACATGGTAGGATAATTTGATTCTATGTTTTACAGGATAATGCATTTTTTTTTTTTTTGAGACAAAGTCGCCCAGGCTGGAGTGCAGTGGCACAATCTTAGCTCACTGCAACCTCTGCCTCTTGGGTTCAAGCAATTCTCCTGCCTCAGCCTCCCAAGTAGCCAAGTAGCTGGGATCACAGGCGTGCATCACCATGCCTGGCTAATTTTTGTAATTTTAGTGGAGATGGGATTTCACCATGTTGGCCAGGCTGGTCTTGAACTCCTGACCTCAGGTGATCCACCTGCCTCAGCCTCCCAAAGTGCTAGGATTACAGGCGTGAGCCACCACTCCCGGCCAGGATAATGTATCTTGTTCAATGTAATGACAACGGTTGTTAATTCATTTTCCTCTCTTCCCTCAACACTCTTCCTCTTTCCCATTCTGTCTGCTAATTCTTCTCTTTTGACCAGGGTAGTTTTTAAACCTTTTTTTGTTGTTCTTGCTATTTGTCTGTGGTCATGTTTGTCTGTGGTCACTTTCTTTATCTTGCCCCCAACTTCCCTCTATTTCTCATCTTTGAGCAAACCTGCTTTTCCAACACCATGTTCTTGTGGTCACTGTTATAACACTCTTCCTTTTCCTCTATCTGGGCGTCCATGCCCTTCTGCCATCAGTTTCAACTGGCCAATCCTGATGGAGTGAACAGCATCAGTTTCTCCAAAGGACTTTTAGAACACTGAGCAAATAAATCAGTAGCTCCAATTTCCAGCTCTTCTTCTGAGGGAATCCATAGTGTGAAGGTACAGAAATGCCATTTAATATGGATTTGGAATAATAGGGCTACTGGAAGTGCTTCCAATACTGATGGGAATATGGCCCTCATCTTGAGGAGGCAGCTGGGGCTCTGGCAGGCAGATCACCCTGTATAGTGGATTTGCATAGCGGCAGCTACAGGGGACTCCCTGGAGATGGACCAGGACTTGTGGTCTCTGAAAATAGCCACATCTAATAGCCGAATGTGAAATTAGGCGATTGAAAAACAAATCCTGCCAAAGCCCAAGATTTGATTCTCTTAATCCTTCAGTCCTGCAGTAAAGTTAAAGCATGCATAGCTAAGAAAGAGATACCGAATTCATCCTCCAACACCAGAGGCTGTAGTGGTGACATTGGGTGTTCTGGCCCCACCCACCTCCCTCTGGTCTTATAGCTTCAGCTTTCTCCGAAAGAAGTTCCAACTGCCAGTTAGCTGTATTTCTTCGCCTGGATTCCACCCACCCCCCTGCCACCCCCTGCCCCACCAAAGCCAAAGAAGACTGCTTTATGATGTGGGGCAGGCCAGAAAAGCCTTGGAAGTCACATTCCCCAGAAGCAGTCCTCCATGGATGACTGAGAGGAGTTGGTGTAGAAATACTTCAGCTCCCTTACCTCTTCCATAGGATAGCTCTGAGGTGCATGTTCTATACCATTCCCCAGAGTTTACCATAGGATTAAGCTCTAGTCACCCACAGCAGTGGCTGGCTTGATAATGTATCTTTAGCTGGCTACATTCCGTTCCCCACTTCCTTACTGGTGTTTCCTGGGCTAATCTTCCAAGTAGACCACTTGAACACAAACCTTTGTCTCAATCAATGTCTCCTATTGGGGAAACCCACCCAAACACAATGGCTCGTCCCACCAAAAGCTTGCATCTATGAGAGTGATCTTTATTATCAGAGTTTACTCTTTTTTCACCAGTAGTCTTAACCCATGCACAAA